GGTAACTATCGCTCATAACTTTTCACAGAAGATCATTGAAACCCCACTTCGACTGAGGGTCCCTCCCTTGTAAGAACTCTGCACTGTTCTGGGAATTCGAGACTTGTCGTGAAAGACCTGCGGGACTCCCGCGCCACCCATGCTCATACTTTTTTTGTGAAAAGGTGGAGAATCAAGTTTTCCCGATGTGCCTTTCCTCCAGTGGAAAGAATCCCTTTGCCGAAATAGTTGTTTGGGCTCGTGCACACGCACATCTCGCTGGGGAGAGGACTTGAAAAGGGATACGTGTATTTCGCTGCTCGTAATGTTGTTCTTTTTTGTCTATATATCTCATGAATTCTTTCCCTTATACCTTATCATAATGGTTGCCAGAATACTGCTAAGCAAGCAACGGGATTCCTAAGATATCAGCATTTGTTTTCATGGTCGTTTAGTCTCGATATAACTTCGCGACGTTCTTCAAGTCTGCTCGAAAATTGGGGTTTGTTAAAAAACTTGCAAGTTTGAGCTATGGGCTGGGAGTTGGCACAGGAAGTAATTGATCATGCCAATTACGAATATAATATCATCAAACTCTGGAATCATCGATCACCTTTATTGATTTCATCGATTTTTCGCGAACTCTGAGCTACGGTGATGGGAATTAGTGCAGGGGGGGGGGGGGGGGGGAGGGGTAGTGAACATGATGATCACTTTGATATGGGAATACCCGTTGCATTTATCGATGTCAATTCTTTGTTAGCGTTTGGGACGAGTAAGTGAGCGTGCTTATTATGAAAACAGGGTGGAGGCAGGGAACTGGTATATGGAAGAGACGGACAGGGTAACGTTATACAGAAGCAGTGGTGTGCCAGCTAGTTGTTAAATACCTCAAATATCTAAGTCCCAACGGTGTAGAGACGCTGATTTTGTATATATTTTAAAGTTGAACTTACAGTTTATCGCAGTGGGACTAATTGTTGTGCATCGTAGCGTTGTTCGCAGTATGAGCATCGAAGAGGAAGTGAACTCTGCAGACATCCTGGCGGCTTTTTTTGCATATTGTGAGGATCCCTTCTCAAGCTTTAACCACAATCAACTGTTCTTATCCAGCAAGTTTGTGGGAACGGATACATTTTTTTGGAAACGACATGAAAATAGCCTCTCTCCTTCTTTATGATACTTTCCATCGATGGGCAGGATTGCGGAATAATGATGATTTTTCTGATGAGATTCAACATCGCCTAAATGCTCTGGAGAATGACGTAACACAGCTGGTAAGCTTCTGTTTTATGATTATCAAAATCTCTTGTTCCGAGGTAGTTTGATCCGTATGCAAAGGAATTTTCACAGAAAGTGATGTGATAATGACATGTTGAACTGCTGAACATGAACTTGCTGCTAATCTTAGGTGAAGAATATGTCTAGTGCTGAATCATTGCTTTGGCTCACATCTTCTGATAAAAAACGACTCGCACAGCTTCTGCAGCAGTATAGTACATATTCTAAAGAGAACAGACGTCCACTAGAAGAGGAAGCCTCGTATGAGGTAGTGCTTCCAGTTAAAATTAACTCTAATCGGGATGCGGTTTTTCATAATTCAGAATAAGCGCCTCCTGCATGATTTCCAAAAGCCTCTATCAAAGGAACACTACCATGGAAATCAGTTTCAACTCTCCAATATTAGCGAGGTTAGCCATTTGTCCTA